GGCACCGACTTGATATGCAACGCGTCCCTTCGGGTGGCGACCCGGACTACTGTTCGCACGTTTGTCCCTACATTCTACATGCTCCTGGCCACTACACCGCTCTTGTCCGTGCCTCTGGTACTCGGGAATTATGGAATGGCGGTGCTATGGTGCAAACTATTACTGCCATTTGTGATCTCGTGCGTAATTACCCTAACCTGCAACTGTTCCAGGTCATTGACCCTATGGGTACCTCGTKTACTTCCATGCCCGCCTCTACGCCTATCTCAGTGCCTGCCTCTGTACCTGTCTCTGTGCCTGTTTCTGTGTGTGTCTCCTTCCAGATTACCGACTCTATGGGTACCACGTGTACTTCCGTCCCCGCCTCTGCACCCGTCTCTGTGCATGCCTCCACACCTGTCTCCGTGCCCGTTTCTGTCTGTCTCCTTGCCTACCTCCATGTCTGTCTCTGTGCCTGCTTTAGTCTTCATTCCCCCACATGCTGCACTAACACCTTGTGACCTCCTTTGTGAGATCACTGACACAGTTACACTTGGTCGTGGAAAGCATCGACTTTGTCGACATCACTACGACCGTATAATTTTTCGGGCCCGCTGTCGGCAGGGATGCCACCTGTATCCGGATTGTAACATCCTCTACATCCAGATGCAGTATGTCCCTGTGCCTGCTGGCGCTATAGCAAATGTGCACTTAACTGTGATGGTGAACGCCCCACAATCGTCATGGCCTGCAACCGGCATGCCCTCTGTCGTGCATGCGCCAGTGTGGATTGCCATCTGTTTGCATGCATGCGGAATAGGAAAGAAGACGAGTCTGGCTGCAGTGACGGCCATGAGATATCATCGTTGAATTGACCATCCCTAGGTAATTCAGAATTGTGCTATCTCACTCATCTGCTTCCAGCGGAGTTCAGGTCTGTAACAGTTCAGCGGTGTACTTGTGTGCAGGCAAAAGTCCATCCATTTGATTATCCATCCTTCACTGAATGCATTTCTCATTGTCCGTTCTCTGTGCAGTTTGCTCCCACCAGACTCTGAAGGGGTTTCTTCATTGCACTTCTGGCCATTACACATCCGATAGAGATCATGACATTGTCCTCTAAACTTGATGAAGTTGTGCTTGAAATTCTGTACAGCACGGTGTCACTTATCATCTCATTCCATTCTCTTGATACGATCACGAGCTTATTCTGTGGCACGGGGTCACTTGTCCTCTCATTCCAGTCTCTTGATATGATTACTAAACCGGTTCACTCTGTGCATGGTATTGGTGCACTCATGTTGCTTATGCGAACAATGCTTGTTCGACTGAGCGACATCTCTGCTGCATTTTCACCGGATATCGATCCAAAGCCCATTTGGATGGGTGGGGAATAATGGGTCTTGTTTAGGCAGTCCTAAGAGTAGCCTGCAAGTGCTGTTTCTCAAATGAGGATTCTGTGATTCATACCCAGATCTCACTGGAGATTTCCTGTATCTTAGCTGATGAAAGGATTTCTCACGTCTCAGTGTCTAAGTCCCAGTTCCAGTCTCAGAGGTCCATGTACCATAGCACCATTTGGTAGGTAGGTGGGTTAGTTAGGCCGAATCTGGTAGGCCTAGTAGGTCGGGTAGGTCTCCAGTCAGTCGGCCGGTCAGCCCATGAGAGTCGGAGAAACCTCCTGATGAGCGGAAGGCCAACCGCGCTGGCAATCCAGGAAAGTTCAAGATTGGGAACTGCGAAGTACTAAAGCTCAGCCGCAGCAAGGCGTCAACACGATCTGCATTCAAGCTTGCTGAAGAGGTGCTGTCATTGTCTTTTGCTACCAAATGTCGAGTGAGGTTGAAAGGCCGTGGCTTATATAGTCTGAAGAGTCTGAACTATGCTTACAGAGTTATGGAGAACCCATTCCACAACTAGATGAACACTCCAAACTTCTGAAAACTTCTGCTGATGCTGTGACGGGCCAGTGGAAGAGCAGCCAGGCTGGGAGAGAGAGGGAGAGTGAGAGCACACACACGCTCACTCAACTCGACACAGACTCGACACGACTCGACGGACGCAGACACAAAGTGGCAAAAGCCGCAAAGTCGCAGTCTTGAATTCCCGAACACAATGTCGAAGCAAAGCCGCACTGAACACAAGCACTGAGGCTGAAAACTTGGTGCCCGCACTGGGCTCGAGTCCGTACAAAAGTACCGGACTCAAGTACTGTCCTGAGAGCGAAAGTGAAAATGCCTCAGGGCCACAACTGAAAATTGAAAGTCTGAGAGTGGGCGCCAGAATGTCGGATGGCGCCAAGTGTCCGAAATCCGAAAGTCTCCAAAGAAGGAATTTGAGAACGGGCGCCAGAATGCAGATGGCGTTAACTGTCTGAGATCAGAAAAGCAAGAACAAAGTAAAATAAAACTGAGTGAGGACGCCGCCCGGCCGGGCGTGCCCTGCCGGGCTGGGCCCGGTCGGTTGGGCCCGGGTAAACCGGGCGGGACAAAAACACGGCCAGAATTTTTTTTTTTTTTTTTTTGAAACCGGGGTTGTTCTGCGCTCTGCGAGAGGACCCCGAATCTGCAATCAAATTTTGGTTTTGGTG